TTTGGCTTCAACACAGGCTCGATGATAAACCAATTAAGATACTCTTGTTTAGCTATCACCACTAATCCCTTGATTAACTCTAGTTATAATTTCACGACCGATTGAAACATTATATAACCTTTAAGAGCCGAAACAAATCAATTAATGAACCACGACTAATAATAAGCCGAATTTTAGGTCCGGAATTAATAATCTTACTAGGGTTTCTACTTTGTAATGAAGTACCTCTCTGTGAATTCTAAGCGATCTCACAAACCATTTAACAACTATTATCGCGATTGTGTTGCCATTTTCGGTTTCCAGACTAGTTCCAAAACTGAAATAATAACGGGAGGCTTTTTCCCGGGTTCTGGTCACTAACTGAGAGAAGACAAAGATCCTGTCTCAAATTCGAAATTCTATTCAAAAAGTTATCAGTTTGCTTACCCGAACACTATAAAAATCAGTATCGAGTCAGGTTTCTCCGCCTCTTCGGACGTTTTCAAATACGGAAAATATTTTAGGGATCGAATATCATCAGCCACCTGGTTGCTGGACTTGAAACAATATACTCATGGACTGTAAAGTATCAGTTGTCATCCCAGCACTTCGGATTTATCGACTTGTTGATCTGTCTTCACGTGTCTTCGAGATTCTATTACAAGAGTTGATATACGATCCAAGCAGGACATGAAAAAGGGAGGGGGTGTACAATGTACTAGGCGGCTATTTTATTACAATATAATTAGCAAAGTTACAAGTATAGTATAGTTTTCTCGCCTTTTTCAAATCTAGTATTTGATTTTGCACCTATATATTACTGCACTTATTGTTATTTGGCAGATTATATATAATTATAGGGGACAGTAAATGTAGTATTATTTGTTTCAGGACTTCTATACTCACTCTTGCTGTGAAGGGAAAATATATTTGTGGTTTTTTGTTTTGTCTGAAAGCTAATTTTGGCTGCCAATAAAAAAAAAAGTTCTTTCAAATCATGCGTTTGTCAATTTTGTACAGTTGCAGGTTTTTTTACATTAACTCCATATTGCAGGTTCTTTGGAGGTGGTGATGATGATTGTGGTTTGTTGTAGTACAATTGGTAGTTGACACAGTTTGTTGCAATGGTGAATGGCATTAGAATGACTGGTTAGAGACTAGTAGATGCTTGTTGAGGGAACAGAAGGTAACTCTTTCAGCATATCTTGGGAAATTATATGCCTGTTGATTGTTTAGCTTGACATACAAAAAATATGTAGATTCTACAAGAAAATATATAAAATTGTTAGAGAATGTTTGTATACATGCAAGCAGCAAACTAATTTGTCATGGTTACAACATATTTTTAAGCAGGATAAGGCAGCTATCATCAGTCCAGTCAGTTCTGGAACCAAAAAAAGTTTTACTTGTTCCATGAAAAATCAGTCAACAACTTGTGTAACACATTTGAAACAAAGAAACTTGACAGCTTTTTCGTTTTCAAACTGTCCCTTTTTGGGGACAATTTATGTCTACTCCGTATGGGTCACGTTAAGGACATGGACGTCAATGATAGAGAACAACAGGTCCGGGGATTCACTTCAGCCATGTGACGCCGTTTTTAATATCATGTCAGTATCTCAACCCTCGCCACCACGACTCCTTCCACTAGAAATGAAACTATGTTGAACCACAGTGCTGTTAATCAGACATGTTTGAACCCTAGTGTTCCTGGCTACCATGGTTCTTTTTATCAAACAACACCACGTTCGTTTTCTTTAAATTTGCAACAGCTTACTGTACATACAGGTAGTACCCCTGCACTGTCTATTACGGCTATTCCTGGTGAACGTGTACCAGGTAGCACCCCAATCTGATGTAGTGTACGGACTTTAATTATTTTGGCTATAAACTTATTTTTTATTATATTTGTTATTGATGCCCTTCTATTTTATTATTTTACTTTGATTTTGAGATTTTTTTTTTAATTCCGCCCTACCTACATCTATTACAGCTATTCCTGGTGAACCTGTACCAGGTAGTACCCCTGCACTGTCTATTATGGCTATTCCCGGTGAACCTGTACTAGGTAGTACCCCTGCACTGTCTATTATGGCTATTCCCGGTGAACCTGTACTAGGTAGTACCCCTGCACTGTCTATTACAGCTATTCCCGGTGAACCTGTACTAGGTAGGTAGTACCCCTGCACTGTCTATTATGGCTATTCCTGGTGAACCTGTACCAGGTAGTACCCCTGCACTGTCTATTACAGCTATTCCCGGTGAACCTGTACTAGGTAGTACCCCTGCACTGTCTATTACAGCTATTCCCGGTGAACCTGTACTAGGTAGGTAGTACCCCTGCACTGTCTATTATGGCTATTCCCGGTGAACCTGTACTAGGTAGTACCCCTACACTGTCTATTACGGCTATTCCTGGTGAACCTGTACCAGGTAGTACCCCTGCACTGTCTATTACGGCTATTCCTGGTGAACCTGTACCAGGTAGTACCCCTGCACTGTCTATTACAGCTATTCCCGGTGAACCTGTACTAGGTAGTACCCCTGCACTGTCTATTACAGCTATTCCCGGTGAACCTGTACTAGGTAGGTAGTACCCCTGCACTGTCTATTATGGCTATTCCTGGTGAACCTGTACCAGGTAGTACCCCTGCACTGTCTATTACGGCTATTCCCGGTGAACCTGTACTAGGTAGTACCCCTGCACTGTCTATTACGGCTATTCCCGGTGAACCTGTACCAGGTAGTACCCCTGCTCTGTCTATTACAGCTATTCCCAGTGAACGTGTACCAGGTAGTACGACTGCTATTCCCAGTGAACGTGTACCAGGTAGTACGACTGCTATTCCCAGTGAACGTGTACCAGGTAGTACTACTGCTATTCCCAGTGAACGTGTACCAGGTAGTACTACTGCTATTCCCGGTGAACGTGTACCAGGTAGTACGACTGCTATTCCCGGTGAACGTGTACCAGGTAGTACAACTGCTATTCCCAGTGAACGTGTACCAGGTAGTACAACTGCTATTCCCGGTGAACCTGTACTAGGTAGTACTACTGCTATTCCCGATGAACGTGTACCAGGCAGTACTACTGCTATTCCCGATGAACGTGTACCAGGTAGTACGACTGCTATTCCCGGTGAACGTGTACCAGGTAGTACTACTGGTATTCCCGGTGAACGTGTACCAGGTAGTACGACTGTTATTCCCGGTGAACGTGTACCAGGTAGTACGACTGCTATTCCCGGTGAACGTGTACCAGGTAGTACTACTGGTATTCCCGGTGAACGTGTACCAGGTAGTACGACTGTTATTCCCGGTGAACGTGTACCAGGCAGTACTACTGCTATTCCCGATGAACGTGTACCAGGTAGTACGACTGCTATTCCTGGTGAACGTGTACCAGGTGGTAGTACGACTGCTATTCCTGGTGAATGTGTACCAGGTAGTACTACTGCTATTCCCGGTGAACGTGTACCAGGTAGTACAACTGCTATTCCCGGTGAACGTGTACCAGGTAGTACTCCTGCTGTTCAAAAATGTGAGTTGCTAAAATATTGTACCACATATTATTGTATTATGAAATAAACATTGTTTCATTTAAATTGTTAAATGGTCAACGCAAAGAATTGGCCATTTGAAAGCTCTAGGTGGGGGTGATACAACATTTTGGTATAGTTGGCGGTGCTATACAAATTTGTTTTTGAATTCTTCTGTCAAAGGTTTTTTTTATTAAATTATTTTTTTACAGTGCTTTTTTTTCACAAAGTAGTCTGCATATTCCTACCCAATCTACCATCCTCATGTTTTCTAATGGTCAGCCCTCAAAATCTATTTGCTATTAAAAGCTCACATGAGTGCAATAGAAATGAGGCAGTCATTATTGTATTCCAATAATTAAAATTAAAAGAATAACTAATAAAAAATGCTTCCATAAAAGGAACATAGAATTCAAATCTATGTGTCAATCACGTGATATCAATGACAATATGTATATAGTCTGGTCACAAGTTCTATACAACAAACGTCACAATTGCGTGAAATTAGTCAGATCGAAATGTGTCCCAGTGTCGGGGCTGAAATGTATGTACCAAAACAGGCTGAGTTAGAAGCATTACAATATTTCAAAACAAGATGGCTGCAAAACTATTCGACCGACCAACATTTTGAATTAAAGTGCATTATTCCCCATTGGTACGCACCAGCACACAAAGTTTTCAGGCCTTTAGCCTTACCCATATTTCTCAAACGCGTAGACAAAAAATGGCGGAAGAATGAAGAAAGAAGAAAAAACAAACAATAACAATAGAGGCTCAGCTCTGACGGGATATTTTTCCTGTAGGCCCCAGCTCTTTTGTGAGTAAGAGTCCATCAATCATTTACATAAATAACACCACAACTAAAATTAGTTAAACAAGAGTATTTTATTGTTCAACATGACAGACATAATTTAAATACAATTGAAGGAAAAATATAAAAAAAGGATAAAACTAATACCATAAATATGTTGTGCAACATTTCTTGAAATGCAATGAAAGTATTATGTTGATGACAATTTGAATAAAAAATGTACTTCACGCCACTCTGTCATTGTTTCTAAGTACTAGATTTTTTTTCATAAAAATTATTTTATATTAATTTCAAAAATCAAAACAGTAAACCCTCGCGTGTCCGGGCGTTAAATAGTAGGACCGATATCAACCAGTAATTACAAACTTTCAGTCAATCAAGAAATGTACACTGAAATAAAATACAAGTTTACTGCCTTGGAATAAAATGATGTCCAAATAAAAAAAAAATGTATGAAAAGTACAATTACAAAAATACTAGTATGCATATTGTTTTTGTAAAAAAAAGCACAGAACCCTCAATTTAAATTCATTGATCCCCAATTAGTCTTCATTTTGAGTCAGAAGCTTCAATTTGTGATGAAGAAATACAAAAAATAAAATATTGTCAATGCAGTCCTCAATATAAAAATACAAATATACTTTCACTTCTTATCTTTGAGATTAAAGTCATTTATAGGATTAGGGCATTGGACCTGTAATACAAAAATAAATTTGTTTCAAATGTTTCATTAAAATATTCCAAATACTGTAAAATACTTTATTTTCGCTTGCAATAATTTTTTGCTATTTAGCTGAAGGGATGATTCAGTGAAAATAAAATCTAGCGAATATAACTTTTTCCCTATATTTCATATTCAACTCATCAAAAATGAGTGAAAATAATCTCCATACAACATACCCAAAAATTCATTCCAGCTAAAATAAAAGTATTTTACAGTAGATATATGCACTATTAGATGGGTATTAGATAGAAGTGCATATTAGATAGAAGTGCATATAAACCCAACATCGCATTGGTAGTTTGCAACCACTTATTTGGCCATTAACGCTCTTATGTGTGGGTTATTCCTATCAAATTATTTTGTATCCCACATATGATGTCATCATTTTTGGGCAAACTGATATAGTGTAATTTTAACAGCGTTTTACATACTTTTGTATGTAGGTTTCTGTTCTGTTGTCAGTTTCAATACATTTCCATTTCCACACGCATAATCAGGATTTGGGTCGTGCATCATGATTGAACTCTATACGATTGTCCACGTGCCAGGAAAGAGGTTACTTAGGAAATTATTATACTCAGGAAAACCCAGTAACTTAGGGTGTTGTCTCTCAGAATTATTCACTTTGTGATTATAACTTTATTTCTCTAACTGTGTTTAGAGAACTATGCATTTGAAACAAAGAAACTTGACAATTTTCTCATTTAAAGTAGAAAGCTATGAATGGTTTAAAATGGCATCAACAATCGATGTGTTTTATGCCATTTAACCTTGCTTTGTCACATGAGAACAAAGATGGTCTGCATATTCTAAATAAATTACGGTCACAATAATTTACCACTCATTTCAAAGATAAATTTATCATTGACATAGATTTGTTTAACCTTTCTTCTTGACAGACTATTGACGAGTATGGTAGCCAAAAAAATATGAGATTTATACATAATTTTATACTACTACAAAGTAGAGGGAACTGAAAAATGAGCCGAGAAGAAATAAACTGTTTTAGCTCTAAAGGGTGGTCTTGGGATTAAAAGGTTATATCACCTATCCCATGGAGCTGATTGATATTTGCGGCACCACGAGTTATAAAATCCACTCACTTTCAGTTCATATATAATACAGCCCATAACATCACGTGTATGAACAAGTGATTTGTTATACTACGTTTTTGTGCTCATCTTGTTTTTAGGTTTTGTGTATTGAAGATGGTAACATACCAATCTATAAAGATGCACATATTACCAAATTACAAAGTTTACATGTTGCGTCATGCTTTATCTGATGAGGCATTGAAAGATTAACTCACGTTGATGAATATACACTGTTCAAGTACTGTACCTAAATCAAAATACTTCTACTCAAGTGTTTTGAAGATTCAATGTTTGAGGTATGTATTCCTACGATACAGTTAATACAAATTATTCTTCGTGACTAGTTAATTGTCGTATTTCAGATTCACTTTCTTTGCATGGATTGCCAGTCATATCTTGGTTCTGAAAGAAAACTAGGGGAGGAACTGAAAATGAATTCATTGCAAATGGATACTACAAATCTAGAGTTTCTTTTTAACAGGTTGCCTGTTAAAACCAGCTCAGAAGGACTGTACAACTACAGAAAGTGTCGAAAGAGGAAATGTGGATGACTTGTTGAGAAACCATGATGTAAAAGATATGCACAGACCTTTTCAGCAGAAATGTATAACTATAGATAAATATAATAGAGATAAGATATTTTTTTGCTTCTCAATACTGGTGGGGTTTCCATTATTAGGTCATCAAATTTGTCTGGCCATTTTGTGCTACTATAAATGAGCTTCTTCCTTATCTCTGTAAAAAAATATGGTTATGAGTGATTCGGTTAACCAAAACCAAACACATTCCGCAGGCCATTTGTTGAAGAGCTCATTGAATCGGGAACAACTGGTATGCAAACAGTGGGGGAAATTGCAAAGCGATTGCTCTTTGTCTGTCGGCAGATGCTAGAGCTCTTGTCAGAAATAAATTAATGGCATGTATTGATGTCATTGGTGTATGCATGAGGGAACTGCAATTCAAAATGGCAGTGGATTCCATGTTGGAGTCTATTCTTATAAAGGTGATGTTCCTTTAAGGACTGGTGAAAGTCAGAGCAAATGCCATTTAGACTATCCTTGGAGTCACAACGTTCTGCTTTTTTAGGAGTGACAAGACAATTTGTGACTACATGGTTAGATTCTTCCTATAGAGAAAGGGTATACTTCATAGGAAACCGTATCCAAGCAGTTGATGAAAGATTGAAATCTATAGCTCCACAAGCTGAGGTCTCTAGATGTCCAAGGTCATTGCTGAGAAGAAACTATTGAAAAGCATCTGAGTGGAAAGCCTTTGTTTTGTTTTCTTTACCTGTATTCATTGGCATGTTGCTTTCTATCTACCTTAAACACTGGTTAATTTTTGTTTTTGGCATATATCATTCAACTTGTGTAATTCAAAAAAAAAGATACACCAGTCTAATGCTCGTCTGCGGATGTTTTTATTAAGGAATTAAAGGTTGTATGGTATTAGACATTGTACTTTTAATGTTCATTTATTGATACATTTTGTCAATTCAGTAATTATTACAAGACATTTGTCGGCAACATAAAGTATTAAATCATTAAAGATTTGCAAACGATGTATGCTCATGAAGGTAATGTTAGGTTTATACAGTATATGTGCTGATGATAACACTCTTAATTGTATGTCTCAAATTTATAAAAAGTATAACACAGTTGAAATCATTTAGGGAATTTTAAGAAAGATTTATTTGTCACCTAAAAGCTGGTAGCATCTTTTATCCTATTAAATATATTGTATTTTCTATTGTGCTGCATATTAGTTATTGTTTTGTTGCAAGGTTCTGAATAGACGTTATTACACTCACTAATTATTTGATGTACCTGAGCGTAATTCAGTTTATCTTTCAACTGTCATTGTTGTCAACAATTGAGGCAAGCACCACATTTTGTTTTATCATGACACTGTATGTCATGCAAATATTTTTTTATTTACATCACACAATGCTGGTTTATGGTAAATATTATTAATGAACATCTACAATTTGTATTTTCCCTATTACTAGCGCATTCATTTAGGTAAATGAGATGTGCGTCTATGGTCAAAATAAGTCGTTTTAATAGATGAGCATAAATGTTTGGAAGCGTAGCCTTGATACAATATTTAAAAGTTTCTCCAAATAATGAACTACACTGTAAAAGAGTTCAGATTAAGTATTGGCGCAAATGCGAGAGTCATAAGATTAGGACCCAATGTCTTTGTACCCAATAAAGAGAAAGTAGGGTTATTTTATAACTCTAAGATGGTGTCGTAGGCTGTGTGTAAGGGTTCGCCTATAAAAAGGTTTTTACAACAGTACCATAACAAAAGCCCATGAAATATCACCCAGTAAAATGGGTAACACGAGAAGAGATTTGAAGAGTTTTAGAAGATAGTTCCAATTGAAATGTCCCTGAAATTGTGGGGGAAACCATTATAATGTTGAGGTAATGTTGGAGAGGTGGAAATTGAACCCATGGAAATACCGGAATACCTTGGTACAAAAGAACTGTCGAGTACTCCACAAATCACAAATGACAGTTACAAAAAATACAAGATGATGATACTGAAGAAGAAACATGTACAGGCACATTAGAAGGAACAGATTTAGATGAACAAGAAACTGTTTTAATTAATGGTAGTCTTAAGAAGTGCAATTACAAGAAATTGCTACTTGGCCACCAATGAAAGTAAAATATGTAATTAAAAATGGAAAGATAATCCATATCGAGAAATTATTTCCTAACACCAATCCAGAACTTCCTTACGCGAATCCAGAAACTGATTCTGGTAATGTAAAAGAAAATAACAACAATGAAAAGATTTAATTAGTAAATCAAAGTGTTTCTAGAAAGCCAGTTTTAAAACTTGTTGATTTACTCTGCACTGTGATTGTTATATTTACTAAACATACGTTGTGTTACGTTATGATAATGAGTCGTGCCTATTGCTGCATGTACTAAACCCATCACTGTCTATTATGGTATTATATTGAAATTTACAGCATGACATCTTTATGCATCAAAGTTCTGTTATTGGAAGTTAACTATGTGTCATTTGTCTTATGATAGCGAGTCTTGCCTATTGCTGCATGTACTGAACCCTGGCCATCATTGTCTACGATGGTATTATGATATTGAAATTCACAGCACGGCATTTTTATGCATCAAAGTTCTGTTATCAAAAGTTACTAAACAGACCCTTGTGTTATTTGCCTTATGATAGCGAGTAATTTACCAATTAAATACCCACCTGTATAAAATTTACATGATTTTTATCTCTAAAAATGACAGTGACAAGATTTTTAATTTTACCAAACTGTATATCCGGTTAACCCACTATATCATAGAATAAAACACAAGTATACAAATTATTTTTTCTAGGGTCTACATAGACTTGCATACAAGTGTCATTGTTTCAAAAATATGAAAATGGCTAAGATAAAATAAACTTACTTTTGTTTTCGTTATCATTCCAGTTATTTAGGGATTCTTTTAAACTTCCTATTTTTTTTTGAGAGAAAGAAACAACAATAAAACTGGTTAGCAAATCCAAGGTATGTGGTATCACAGAGTATTTATTATCATGATTATTTTTCGTAATTATTAGTTCATATCTGTTTTAAAGAAATCATTCTACTAGTTATATAGCATAACACAATTTGTATGTGTACTGGTTGATCAAAGGTAAGTAGAATGAACATAAATTGAATATGTAGTAGTGAAATCACATGTTCAAGCAAGCACACAATGGCACATGTCTGTAATATCAAATGATATCCTGGTGTATCTATTGGACATGATGGCTCAAGTGGTGAAAAGTTTTCATTGTTAACCTATCAAAAATACGATCACACTCCGGGAAAGAAAAATACTCTGTGAAGGCATATCATTACCCACAAGGAAAAATTATCCCAATTGCCCCTCCGAAAAAAAATTACATCTGAATCAGTCATGAAGCTAAGTTCTCTTCTCTATCGCATTACTAGTTTAGAAATTTCTGAAATATTCAAATTAGCACCTGCCATATATCTCTCTGAGTCACAATCGGGAATTTTAGGTCATCCCCGTGCAAGACAATTGACATCCAGCTCTTCTATTATCATCTGGTTCATAGAAACATGATACTTGTCCACCAGAACGATTTGAACTTTCTGGTAGGGCATAGCAGAAGGCATTGTTCATCGTTACAAAATTCATTCGCGTTGTTATTATGACGTCGGTAAAACTGGTAATCCTAACTGAGAGGGGAAGTATGTTGAAGAACACATTAATGTACAGTTGAGGCGATGGTTAGAGTGCAGAGGGTTGAAAAAGTCCGGAAATCGATCTGTTCTTATACAGAGGTGACAACATTATTAATATTCATCGATTAAAATATTCTGTCAAGTTTTATGTCATTGTTTTGTGTTTTTTTATTCAGAAAGTTAGTAACATGTCATTATTTGTTTACTTTCTTGACTTGATATAATGTCAGTGTCAGCAGTGAGTGGTGCAGTCCTGGATGTTAGCTGTCACTGCAAAGCATCAGCTCCTTTCCCATTGTAGTCATGTTGCAGCAGTGTTATTATATTTGAGCAATGTTGCCATTGACTCTGTACCTGCTTGTACAGACATGCCTTGTCAGTGGAAAACAAATATAAAAGATCAAAAACTAAGATACACTTCATACAAGGTCCCCAGCTAAAGTGCTATAAACTTTGACTCTCGTTTAAGTGAAAGTCGTGTTACTGACCAGGATATTAATAACTTTGTATTTGATCTGCATGTAGCAAATAAAAACACCAAGTTAGAAGTATGTGGGGAAACTGTGAAACTACGTCGACTACCCTGTGTACAACAACTTTAGAACTATTATACTGAAATACCGTGACTTTTACAGGGTCAACATTACTCCACCTGATACTGCACACAGCTCCAGATTTCTGATTCCAGGTACTAATGAGCAGTCTTCGTCAGAAACATGGGATTCTCATCGGTATTTGCGAATGACTGCATCTGCAGCTAAAGAAGCAGTAATGATATTGCGTGCAGTTGTAGAATGTGGTGAAACAGCTGTTGTGAAGTCACGATAGATGTGCTTTTTGTTCAGAAAGCGTGAAAAACAATTGAAAAGACAGAAGTAAGACTTGTGTACAATTGTTTCTAGTCACTTTCGTTTATTTTAATAATGTTTAGCTATGTGAATGACTGAATATTGCACACTTGTATCTCATATGTGTTTTTCTCTCAACACATTTTCAGTGCTGAAAGACTCGAGTAATATAAACAAATTCAAAAAGCCAAGAATCACCCAGACATGTATGTCTCAATTATTATGGATGGAATTGATCCTGATAAAACAAATACTCCACACTTCACAAGTATTCCCAAAACATTGTGGAAATTAAAGACCCACTAGACAGGAGTAATTGCACATGGACACTGGCTACTTGGATATTTTGACTTATTCCAGTGGCCTCACAACAGTAACCTAACATGCAGTATTTTATTGTTAGCACTAAAGCAGTTTGGTAGTTATTTATCAAAAAACTTTATACCAGCAGCTAGACAACACTTGCAGGGAAAATAAAAATAGGTGGATGTTGGTTCTTTGCTGTCTTCTCGTGGAATTGTATGTGTTTGATAAGGTATGTGCACCAATAGATTACTAATATAATTCAGCGTAACATTTATTTTCTATTAATTGTTTCTTTGGTATAGACAAAATGCAGATCAGCCTAGTTTTCGTGAAAATGACAAGAATTACATAATCAAATGTATATGTAAAGACAGCCTAAGCGGTACCAATGTAAAATTGCATAGCAATGTGTATCATGCCAGAGTTTGTTTATTCGCTTTGATTGCAGGTTTTCGTCATTATATTTCACTGTTATCATAGCTTTATTCAATAGTTACAAAAAGTAAAACATAACTCATACCTAGATGATGTTAGTAAGCTAATTTTAAGTAACAAAATATTTTGATTTATTTAGATAAAAATGCCATTTCTTATGGTAGGACACACTGAGACATGTACCAAGTATTCAGCAGATATTCTACTTGGTTAAACCTTAGACTCTCTGATTGATGGATCGCCCAAATCATTTAAGAAATAGCCAATGACCACACATCTGTTGGACAAATATACGATGTTAAAGTTGGTTTGTGACTCATTAATGATATTCAACACCATGGTGAGCCACGTGTCTTTTAAATTACTCAAATGAATCTGGAAAAGCT